CGTTAACTGGTTCCGAAACTGTGTAGTTGACGCATCCCTGCGTCTCCATTAGGTCATGAAAATTTCCTCCAACAGTCCATCCCAGCGGTGTTTTCCATCCAATTGGAGCGTCGGAAGGACCCAAGGCAAGCTCGCGGTGAAGGATTAGCCTGAGATTGTTTATTCCGATAATCAGCTCAGGAACAACATTCTTCAGGTCTCGGGGGTTTGATCTTGTTAGATGTGGCCATTTATGACGGATTTTCTCGATTGAAATCGAGTAAGGTTTCATCTTTAGACCACTCACAGTAACTGCGTTTTGCATTGGGAGGTATGGAGCTCCACCGAATGTTCCTTTTGCTTTGTTGACGCTGCTAGGTCAAACTCATCCTTGAGGAATGCGAGCTGTCCTAAGTACGTCTTTGCTTTTGCTCCAGTTCTAGATGGACTTCCTAGCTTCTTGTATTCCAGGCGGAATGGTTCATGGCGACTCCTAGCAGCACCAATCTTGGGAATTCCTTTGTTTTCCATAATGAGACAACAATTGGTCTTTTCAAAGTTCAGTTATTCTTTTCAAAATCAGTAAGCCTGGACGTCCGTCAAGGAGCGTGTCCAACCAATCAACTCAAATAACTTTCCAAGAATTTAAACTTTAAATTAACCTGTTACCAAAGTGTCATCCTGCTCGAGGGACCAGTGATGTAGGTTTGCGAGCGTAGGGTCACTTCCCTTTACGGCTCAAAAGCTAAAATTAAAAACAATAGAAAACCGTTGTTTATCGCTCGTTTATTTTTAAAGAATGTTTTAGAACAAAAAGCGCGTGCCTCCCAGCGAGAACACTAGCACGTGAGTTCCTGTGCGCGCGCCTGCCTGCCAGCGAGAGCAGTTTCACGCGACCGCCCGCCAGAGAGAGAAGCTTTTTCTTAATTACAAAGCAAATCCTTAACTATATTTACAGGTTTATATTTCATAACTATTTCACAAATTTACAATATATAAATAAGAACAGGAGAAGTTTTATTTAAAATGTTCTTCTTTCTCAATCTCAATCAATCATTAATCTAATTTGAATGTAAAGATACATGTTTTAAGGCTATATGGTACTTCATTAAATATATATATATATATAAAAATAGGAGTTTTCTGTTTGAATTTTCATCATTCTCAATCTGAAACAATCATTAATCTCGAGCCATTTCTGAAATTATATGAATATGATATTTGATATCAATTTTTTTAAATGGCGTTCCTCTTCTCTGTTAAAAAAAAACTATCTATTTACTGTTTCAACAAACTGGCAGGGTTTGGTTCCTGACAGTAAATAGATTGCGTCTATTTTGTGACAGGAGATATAACTGTATTTCATTAGATCATTATATATTATAACAGAAAATGGTCTATCTATATACACTCTACAACATTAAAAAAATCTAAGTTTAAAGTTGTTCAATTGGAACAAAAATTGGTGTTTGTGAAAAACATGTTCAGAAGAAAATCTAATAAACATAAGGAAAAATGAATTGTTTTATTCCAGAATTTGATCCTCACAAATTAAGAAATCCAATATCTTGTTGGGCATTTAATTCAGTGGAGGATGAAGAAAACCTATCTATTTATGGAGATCTTTTATTATTTTGAATATTTGAAAAATGCAATTATTGAGAAGAGGCAGTTATGCAAATAAAAAAAATCATTTATACATAACTCTCTTTCCACCTTACCTAAACCATACCTATCTAACAAGGAACAACATTATAGTAATAACATTTTATTCGCGATCGTATGTTGTAGACCACCGTATGTATCACATCCCAAACACGATGCGATACCAGACATCTCTGTCTTGAGCTCGATTTACTATATCGGCGACCGTCAAGCCAGTGAGTTCTTTTAATTGGTCCACGAAGCGTGTCAGCAGGCGTCGAGGGAAAGCGTCGCCCAGACGTCATTCCGGTCAGTATGGTGTACTTCATTCCCTTGCGTCGCGCGAAGTGACCAAAGAATATCAAACAATTCCATTGTACACGTCACAGAAGTCGGCAATCTTCCGAAATCGAAATTTCCCAACAATATTCTTAACTTTTATAATACGATGCAGTAGCGCGCCATCTCTTATCAAAATTCGAAACTATTTCAAACGCGTGATTCTTTTTGAAAATAAACAATTTCTACTGCATTTACTGCAATGGAATCTTACGCGTTTAAAATAGTTTCGAATTTTGATACTTAACTTTAATTTAGAGATAATAGTTGAATCAGTAGGGTTGTTCACAATTATGGATATGAGTAAAATACATTATAGGTGAAAAAAGAAATGGATTACCTTCAGGAGGTATCAGGTATTTCAATCTGTTCTTGGATAATTCGTATAAACAAAGAGTTGCCCCTTCTCCTTCACAGTAGTTATCAGCTTCTATTTCGGAGACCTTGTTGGTTCGTAGCAGGTAGCACTTATTTATGAAGGTCCGCCAACCCTCAGGACATGGACCAGTAACATTCTCTTGCTTAAGTTGTCATATTGCGGACAAAATGTTATTGTGTTGAGACCTACGTCACACACTTTCATTTGGAGAATATTTATAGCCAATGTATGGACCTCTGGTATTGTCGTAGTAAAACATTAATCTGTAAAAGAAAATATCGAGAGAGAGAGAGAAGTAAATTGAGTGATACTGTGGCAAAAGGAACTGAAAAGTATTTATTCTCGTTGTCTAAAGGTATGTGATGTTTGCCTGGTCATTTTTATTATTCAGAATACAAACTGAATTTGCATTTAATAAAAAATGAAAATTGATCAATGGCTGAGTGGTTCATACCGTCGATTTTCGATTGAAAAAGAACCGAGGTCGAATTCCTAATTGGAAAATACTTATGAAGAAGTAATTGCTTTGATATGGCCTTGATTCTTTCACAAGTCTAAGCTTACTGTTGTTTGCAAATAACCAATTGCGACTCTGGAAAACTGCAAAGTCGTTAACTGCCCACCATGATTATCTTGGTCTTAATCTCAAATGTATGTGGTCTATTAAAAAATAATACAATTTGTATATTCAAGACAGAAATAGAAACTTTATAAATTAAATGAAAAAATGTCGTCTTCTAGTAACAATTTTAGATTTTAGATACTCTACTATGCTCGCGGTAATATGCAGACCATATATCTGTTTAGATCAAATTATATTATAAAGGTATACCTTGATATTTTGTGAATATGATTCCAAAAATAATTGACTTAATTTGGCGTTAGATTCATGGCTAACGTGAGTTGACAATTCAATTGTATAATCCCCTGCATCAATATCGGTCAAAAACATATGACCTCCAGGGAAAAGCATCACTTAAAAGAACATTTTATTCATATTTCTCGGTAACGAATGCCCCTCTACACCAAAGAACGTGGTATCATGAATCTATCGTCCAATGAAATAAATAATTACTTGAATCTGATTCACTAAAATTCATTGAAGCTAATAAATAATGCTTGAAAAGGCCTTCTGTGTATAAAAAGACAAAATTATATGTATTTAGAAAAACAGTGGCTATGTGTTTTGACAGAACACCAGGTTCCTGCGGATGTGATAATCAAGAAACATGATAAGTGGGTTAAAGACAGAAAATAAAAGCTCTCAGGATTCATAAATCAGCTTTACAGAAATCATTTCCTAACTTTTCATCATAATTATTTTTCTACGTCATTAAACAAATTATATATATTATATATATTAATAATATATATATATATATATTATACAGTTAAAAATGAATAAATTAATAATAAAGTAATAAAATACAGTAGACCCTCTATAAAGGACACCTAATCACAGAGCCAAAATGTCCTTTAGGGAGAAGTGGCCTCTTACCGGAGTGTTGCCAAATATTGAAAATAGTAATTTTGTAAATGAAAACTGCCCTTTGTAGAGAGGTGTCCGCTAGCTGGGTGCCGCTAAAGGTAGGTTCTACTCTAATACAATATTACTTAAATATATTGTTGAATCATGATTAATGCGCTATTTTTAAAATATATATATTATATATTATTTATAATATTATTTTCCATAATTTTCAAATTTAAATTTTATATTTCATTATAAAGGACTGCGGCGTATGATTATAAAACAACACTTAAAGTTTCACTGCATAAGTTTATTTTCTGTGAAAAATCAATACTTATTTCAAAGAGAAATATCCACTATTTCTAACTTTTTTGGATGACGTATGAAAGGGTGAAAATATGAAGAGTAATGGTCTATATATGATTGGATGACGTATGAAGGGTGAAAATATGAAGAGTAATAGCGAACGGAAAAATAAAAGTGTCCAGGGGCGGGAATCGAACCCACAACCTTCTGCTTACCGGGCAGGTTCCATGTCCACTAGGCTACCCTGGACGTATTTCTCCGTTCGTAACTAATACTTAAAGTAACTTATAATACATTATAAAGGACTGAGGCGTATGATTATAAAACAACACTTAAAGTTTCACCGCATAAGTTTCTTTTCTGTGAAAAATCAATACTTATTTCAAAGAGAAATATCCACTATTTCTAACTTTTTTGGATGACGTATGAAAGGGTGAAAATATGAAGAGTAATGGTCTATATATGATTGGATGACGTATGAAAGGGTGAAAATATGAAAAGTAATGGCGAACGGAAAAATAAAAGTGTCCAGGGGCGGGAATCGAACCCACAACTTTCTGCTTACCGGGCAGGTGCCATGTCCACTAGGCTACCCTGGAGAAATACGTTTTATTTTTCTGTTCGCCATCACTCTTCATATTTTCACCCTTTCATATGTCATCCAATCATATATAGACCATTACTCTTCATATTTTCACCCTTTCATACGTCATCCAAAAAAGTTAGAAATAGTGGATATTTCTCTTTGAAATAAGTATTGATTTTTTACAGAAAATAAACTTATGCAGTGAAACTTTAAGTGTTGTTTTATAATCATACGCCGCAGTCCTTTATAATGTATTATAAGTTACTTTAAGTATTAGTTACGAACGGAGAAATACGTCCAGGGTAGCCTAGTGGACATGGCACCTGCCCGGTAAGCAGAAGGTTGTGGGTTCGATTCCCGCCCTTGGACACTTTTATTTTTCCTTTCGCCATTACTCTTCATATTTTCACCCTTTCATACGTCATCCAATCATATATAGACCATTACTCTTCATATTTTCACCCTTTCATACGTCATCCAAAAAAGTTAGAAATAGTGGATATTTCTCTTTGAAATAAGTATTGATTTTTCACAGAAAAGAAACTTATGCGGTGAAACTTTAAGTGTTGTTTTATAATTTTAAATTTATTATCATTTTTTAAACAGAATGAAATATTAACATTAAAATATAAACATTATGAAATATTATGTACTCCTAAATAATTGGTATTTTGATACACTGAATACCCAACCTGCTTTAAACTTTGATGTGATAAAAAAAGAGATATCTAGTGTTACCTAAAAATATAGTCGTCTTATTATTGACTGGTTTAACCTTGTAGGATGGTTGAGACACGTTCAGGAAAGATGCAAGACGCGTCTGAGGAGAGAATCAAGAATGAAGAATCTGCCGAACCGCAGCCTGGTGCAACAATATATATATCTTCGACTATTATTGGAAGATATTTGTTTCAAATAATAAGTTTTACTATTTTATAATAATTTCATACTGTTCTTTCAATATGTACCTAGAAGGTTTTTTACAAAATAATTTGAAGATATTAAAATTCTAACTTGAACCAGAACAACAACAACAAAAAAGAGATACAAAGATTTTACAATAATTTATTCTGGAATAGGTATAATAACTGTAAAGTCAACCGCGTAACACACCTGACCTTCAAGATTTCAAAATTCCAACTTTGTCTAGAACAGCAAAAACAACAAAAAAGAGATACAAAGATTTTACATTAATTTATTCTGGAATAGGTATAATAACTGTAAAGTCAACCGCGTAAAACACTGACCTTTTTTATATTTTATATTATTTTTCACATGAAATGCGTATTTACGTAAACCAGGTGATAAATGCCCATTTATTTATTTCTCAGGGAATCTTTGGGTCCTAATATTTGGTTGTTTTCCACCCTGACAATGGCCAACAGCCCGAAAAGTGTATGTGGTTGAACTTTCTTGATTCATCAAGAATTCGGGTTGATCATATATCACGGAACAAGTAAAATAAACGTTTTGTTTATTTTTGTTCCTCCAGATGGCGCTTTCCCATCTAGATATACTTATGTGAGCACGGTATATATATGAGCCTTTTTAATTTTAAATATAAAAGTATATTTTTGATTAACAATAATACATATTAAAAGTGTGAGCATTTAAACCTAATTAAGACAGTTAAAAAAGACGGATCGATAAAGTGAAAGAAAAAAAAAATATTTTCTCCAAAATTTCGAGGTCTTGCACTTTCTCTTTCTTTCTTTAACAAATTTGTCTGATTAGATATTTGACCTATTACTTAATTTATCTTTTTAAATGTTATGAAATCAAAGCCCCCTGAGTTATAATGAGGGTCATAATCCAAAACCAAGGTATACAGTTTTGATTTTCTCTGAAATTACTGAAACTGTTGTGTGTTGATATATACTTTATCCCCACTGTACTTTTTCAACTGAGGTGATAGTAAAATGTATTATTTTACTTCACTTTTAAGAAGGTGATGACACTTTGGTTTAGATATCCCATACCACTTCTACCTAATGTTATATATATGCTCATCTATCTTGATTTCAAATAAATCTTAATTTAAATGCATATAACTAGGTGCATTAGCGTTCATCTGTTAATGGGAATTTATACTATATATAGCGTTTATAGGTTTCTTTAAAAAGAAAATATAGCATTAGAATATTGCTTCATTTTCAAAAAAGAACATACGTCTTCTATATTGTCATTTAGAAAATGAGAAAAGGCACACCTAAAAAAAAAGGAATTTAAATGGTAACAAATTGAAACGTATCAAATACAAAAGGAGCAATGAGATAGGTTTACAAATTAGAAAGTATAAATTACAATTTTGTTAATCTGTTAATAAAATAATAAATAATTCACCGCAATATGGTTCAAAATTATAGAAACTCATTAATAATTTTTCAGGTTGATATATAATTTTGAGTTAGAGAGGTATTATACGAGTTAAAAAAGGCTCAAATCATTCTATAAGATTATTTAGAAGGTAATTATATAAAACATATATATATATATAGAAACTACCCACCTTCTTGGGCCGCAGAGATGGAAACTAACAAAGCTGCAGTAACCACTACCAACATGTCTCTAATTACATTAGTTAATCAGCCCTCTGATAAAAGTACGCCCACAACATCCTTTTCCTTTTCCAGACTGATATAATTCCTCTCGATTGTTCTCTCTTGAAGTAGGTAATTCAATAGTTTCGAAATATATCTTTTTTAAAAACTATTTTTAAGCATTTGATTCATTTTATATTAACATTTCAGTGTGGACTATTTATTATTTTAACCCAAAAATAATAATATATTTTAAAATATTTTGTACCTTATGAAACAAATCAATCTTTTTAACCCTTTTTTGGTTGAACGTAAATTCAGTCAATGTGTGTTTTATGAACAAAATAATACATCTTGTTATTTTCACGTTTGCCTTCATTTATTTTCTATGTTACATTATAGGAAGTAAGGTTGACAATTTTTAATCATATTATGGTTTTTATTCAGTCCAAACTTTCAAAAATATTAATTTATATATACAGTGAGATAAAACAAAGGAAAAGTTGTAAATTTATAAAATCATTTCCATCAGTTTATCACGCAAGTGAAAGAGATATATTGTAGAATATAAGATATATACTACGTATATGAATCTGAATAATTTTAAATGAATTATAGAAAACAATTTTATATAGCATGAATTTTCTTCTTTAAAAATATATTTTTTCAATACTTTCTGTGATGAAAATATGTAAATGGACATTTGCGATATAGCAAGTGTATTGGGAGTAATGTTTTCATATAAATGAAAGGTAAATATTCAATAGGAATTTTTTCTGTTTTTGTCTTTTTATCAAATTATGCTTAATTGATTTTGTCTTTTCTGTTCATGAATGAGCATTACCCGAGTTGAATTTTTATTTATAATTCTATTGTCCTCTAAAAGGGGGAGAGAGATTGAAATTTAAGCTAATTTATTACCTTTCATTTAATATATATATTATTAATAATATATTTTAGCACACTTTCAATTAAAATTAATATTAGTAGGTGACCGGACATTTTTCGCTTCTTCTTCTCCTACCAAGAAAGTTTGCGGTGGATATACACTCATGGACATAACTAAAGGAAGTAGAAGGTTTTTGATGTCAGGTAGTATTTTTTCTTTTAAGGAGTCAGAGGTAGTTTTTTTCACACTTGGTGATCTCGTGTCTTCAATAAAGGTCACTGCGTTTCAAATATCTTTCATAGATATTGTCTGAATTTCAATATACATGCTAAAAGGTACAACCTACTTCAATTTTGCCCATGAGTGTGTAATTTATACCAACCTTTAAAAGCCTACATAATACAACAATTCTTTAATATTTCAATATTATTCCGTGATAAAATAGTTTTCTCTTTGGGGTTCAAATAAAAATGTGTACAAAATCCCTTCTTTCTTCTAAATTATTTTATTTTATTAATTACAGTAGAACCTTCCTTTAGTGGACACCTCTCCCTAAAGGATAGTTTTATTTTGCAAACTACCATTTTTACAATTGAGCCACTCTATGGTAAGTGGGCTTTGGCTCTGCAATTAGATATCCTTTACAGGGATGTACTACTTAAAAAATAATATATATGTGGTGTGTGTATTTATTTTTATTATTCTCATCATATTCAGACGCGATATCCCCATAAGGGAGGCTTTCTTCAAGAAACAATACAAAATTCTTAGATTAATTTACATAAACAATTACTGATTTAAAAATTCAAGCATGAATTGTAAAATCAAGCATGATTTTATATACAAACCAGGAACAACAAATGAAATAAAAAAATACAAATATATATATACATTGTTTAGCAATTACGTTTTCTAATTAAGAGAGAAATCATAGATATATTTGCAGAATTTCATGCATTTAAAATATGAGTCTTTACTTTTTATGAACATAAAAATATTATTATATTCAATGTCTTTTCCCAATATCTTTAGTTCTGTAAGATTGACACTCAATATGGTGTATAAAATTTAGAAAAATGAACACATCACAAGAGAGACCTAGGAAACCATAGAGAGAGAGGGGACAGGCACAGCCAGACGGTCGCTCGTGTTGCCCACAATAATCAAATATCTTAAAAGTCCTGAGGTGTTAGCTAACAGGCCTTAGTGATCGCCTCTTGTTATATCGCTGCTATTTCAAGTGACAAGACTTTACCCTCCATCTTTGTTTCTTATAGGTTAGCTTTATTAAATTAAGACATATGTTATTTAACACTTAATTTATTATCAATATAGATCAATTATAAGTTGGAGGTGTGTTATAATATGAATTTTAATCAATTTCAATCACTTGTTATGTAAATATTGAGCATTGTTTCGCTTTGTAGCAGTTTACTTTTTTTTTATTGAACATTATTTTAACACTCACACATCAAAACAGTTCTGGCGATATTGAAGAGTTTCTCTGTCATTCTTTCCTTAGTGGAATTTATTTCATCAATGACCTTTTCTTTATTATTTTATTTCATGGACCAGGCTCTTTTCAAATAAAAATAAAACATCCACTGATATTTCTTCCACTTAATGTGCGTACTTTATCGATCTCTTAATTATATTTGAATTCAATACTTTCTAAGAAAGTGACTCTTTATTTATCATGTGCAAAAGATTGCCAAATACTAAATTCAATAATCTGTGCATTGTTGTTTCAATATTTTAATTAAATAAAAATATCCATGATGTACATCTTGAAGATATAGTATGATTATATGTAACCATCATTTCTTCCATTACATCTACACTCTCCTTTGTTATGTTATAATTATCTCTGGCTTCGAGGATTCTCCTGTTAAAATTATTATTGTACTGCCTAAATATACTAAATATTTGATAGGATATTC